CAATTGGCAAAGGCGTGAGAATTGAAAACATCATTGTTGGAATCTGATGCAATCAAATTGAGAGAAATAAAATGAGAGAGTCTTATCGGTGAAAACCTACGGGCACTATAAGGCGACAGTGAGTAGAGAAATTGAAAATGAGAGAGTCCGCGTAGTGAAAACTCGTAAAGAGCACTATTGGGCGACGATGAGAAGAGAAATGAGAGAGTTCGACTGGTGAAAACCCGCAAAGGGCACCGTCGGCCAAAGAGAAGACATCTCCCACCATTGAAAGAGTCCTGGCAAGATTCCCTGGATCTGAATCATGGGTCAATGAGTTTATAAGAAGTGTGGAAAGTTTGTGCGGGGTCAGGCATCCAGTCCAAGAAGCATGTCAAGTCTATTTGAAGCCTGCATGCACCCCTAATAAGTCCTTCTTTTCTCCTCGAAAGAGACGCTTCTCTTTAAATTCGTTTTCTTGCCTTTTTCTACTTTTTCCTTGAAATCCCTTTCGGTCTAACTCTGTTACCGAAATTAATACAAAGAAAAGGTGGCAGGACTGGCATTACAGGGCTCTCCCTAACAAAAGCTAAAGAAAAGTAGCCAGCCTCAGCGAGTGCATCAAGTCAATCCCGACTGGCCATGATGGCGGATGCTTTGAAATCAAAGTTGGTGAAAGAGAAAAAGAAAAGTCAAGGACAAAGGTCTTAAAGGCCGAATAAAGTTAAAAAGGTCGAAGCCCCACACAGGCGAGTCGTCATGAAATCTTAAAAGTTGAGTCCTTCGGCTTGAAAGAGAGGTTAATCTTCAAAACCAGCAAGCAGCAGAGGTTCTCGACAGAAGCTAGGCCGGGATCAAGCAATCAAGGCCACAAAACCAACCACCATTTCAAATTACAATTGTTCTCTGTTTGAAAATTGAAACAGGTGCAATCCAGGCAATCGCGCAAAAGCAGGTGCAGCAAAAGGAAAAGAAATGCGCAGGTGCTGAAACAGCTTTGCAAAAAATAATCAATCCAAAAAGGGAAGTTTCCTCCAAGTTCTTTCCTGCATCCTATTAAAAATGAAAAAAAAAGAAGAAAAGAAGAAGAAAATTCAAAAATTGATCGTTTAGAATCCCAATATCAATCTTTTATGCTTTGCCAACGTTAGGGCTCCAATCCCTGAGTTGTGCCTTTTTAGACATAGGACCTCCATTCCCTAGTCGCCTTTTGCCAACATTAGGTCTCCAATCCCTGAGTTGAGCTTTTTACCTTTTATCCAACATTAGGGCTCCAATCCCTGAGTTGGGCCTTTTAGACATTGGGCCTCCATTCCCTAGTTGACTTTTGCCAACATTAGGTCTCCAATCCCTGAGTTGAGCTTTTTACCTTTTATCCAACATTAGGGCTCCAATCCCTGAGTTGGGCGTTTTTACCCTTAGCCAACATTAGGGCTCCAATCGCTGTGTTGAGTATTTTTCCCTTTAGCCAACATTAGGGCTCCAATCCCTGAGTTGAGCATCTTTCCCTTAGCCAACATTAGGGCTCTAATCCCTGAGTTGAGCATTTTTCCCTTTAGCCAACATTATGGCTCCAATCCCTGAGTTGAGCATTTTTCCCTTTAGCCAACATTAGGGCTCCAATCCCTNCATTTAGAGACCAACTTTGGTCGCCAAAATTATATTATTAAAATAATAAAGCGACCAAAGCTGGTCGCTATAGTCTTTACCTGGAATATTTGGTCCTTTACCTTAGAGACCAAAGTTGGTCGCTAATTAGCGACTAACTTTGGTCCCTAAAATAAAGGGACCAGCTATATTGCGACCAGGCATGTTTGGTCGCTTTTTGGTCGCTTTTAGGCCTATAAGCGACCAACTTTGGTCGCTTTTTGTGGTTGCTTTTTACCGGATTTCTAGTAGTGAAAGAGTGCAAATAGTCTGACCAGATTAAGAGTTCAATTCCTTTGTCAATAAGAAATTATTTTTAATGATTATTCACTTTTATACTCAAGTATAATAGCATCATATTTTATAAAAAATCAAAAACAAGAAAATATATTCTATAAGTCATATTAAAACTTTATGATTAATTAAAAATGTAAACCAAAACCTAAGTAATTTAATTTCCACTAGTTCTTGTTAAACTAAAGTTAATTATTGCACTTGGTGCATGTACTATGCATACAAATTTTTTTTAGGCTCTGGCCTTTTGTGCATGCATAAAGATTCTAATGGATACTACTAGAAATAGTGGACCAAAAAAAAAAAAAAAACCAATTTCAACGCACTTGCCGTCCTGATCATCATTTGTTCAGAGGTTTGGTAAAAAACAATATCGACCCTAATTTGAAGTTTGGCATAAACCTGCAGAAGTATATTGTCATTATATGGCAACCTTCCTCGGAACTCATAAGCACCCCGTGACCTATCTTTGACACTCGTGAGGATTCTCCAAATTTATTGTCCTTATTCTCTAGTCAGTATTAGTAGTTTTTTTTTATTACCCCTAAAGCGTTGTGGTAATTTGATTAGAAATCTCGAGTTCGAGCCGTCTTCTTTTGTGGAGTATACCAAACCTTCATAATAGACTTTTTATGGCGCGAGCCCGAATTAGTATGGCCAGTATTGAATGTGTTAGGTATTTGTTCTGATTTTCTTATCATAATTGATTTTCCTATCTCATGAATGATTGGACAACATATTATCATAATTGGATTTTTCTTTTCCTAGAAGGAAAATATAATTCTTCCATATTTGGCTGGTCCCTTTTCTTGTAGGAAAAGATTAGGGGTTTTATTAATTGAAGATCCGTCCTTCTCATTCAGGAGCATCCACAATATAGCCATATGGGGCTTGAGAGTCGTGTTTAGGGGGAGAACTTTACGGGACAAGTGTTAGTGTGTCACTTGTGTTTGCCTCTTCGTGAGGTTGTTCTCTCGATATTTTGTATTCTCTTTTATTATAGTGGATTGCTCATCTCCGCTGTGGACGTAGGTCAATTGACCGAACCACGTTAAATGTTTGTGTCTCTTTTTAGTATATTTCTCTTTGTTGTCTGATTTATCGTCGTTGAAGGTTTGCTTTGCTAATTTCCGCATGACACTTGATTATTTCGGTCCTAACATAATGGCTTTAGCAAAAGGGAAAAAATTGTTGTTCAGCTAGCAACTCTGGGTATAAAGAAGCCCGGGAGCTCTGGTTAAGGATAAAAGAGTACTTATCACTCGACCGCAACCCGTGTTGGTTGGTTGCTTGATGATTGCTTCTCACGGGGATTATCAAATTCTATTATGAAAAAAAAATGAGACAATGAAATAAAATATGATAATCAGAAGACACGCAAAAGATAACTTGTTCTTATAACCTTTCGTAGTTTATTTATTTCCACTTTCTCGATCTGGAAATTGGAAGCATGTATCAAGGATCTGGTTTTAATCCACTAAGATCCCAGTTCCCAAATTAAGCTAACAGGGAACAATATTACAATATAGTACCTTAATCAATATAATCTAATGAAGGTCAAACAGTGAGATACAGTCAAAATAAAGTAGTGGTCAAAAGTTCACTTAAATTATACAACTGAAGAAGCTTTAAGTTTGAAATATATTTGAAGAGATCCTGTGTTTAGATTATTTTTTTTGGAATAACATATGCCTTCAAAGAACATTTATATTAATTGTTTTGAAAATCTACTGAAAAATTACGGTCTAAACTCACCGAAATAATAAATTTGACCCTTGTAATGCGAAAGATTTATTGTCTCAGTATTTGGTCAACTTTTCTGAGAACTTTTTCTAAACTAAATGGACATTAACTTAGTATATCCGTGATTTGTGTGATAATTTGTTTAGTTAAATTTTAGTTTTTTTTTTTTTTTTTTGCCGTGATTTTTGGCCAAAGCATTGGCGCATGGGATGATTAATTGTTAACCTACCCACTTTTCCATACTTTTCTAGTATCTTGGTTGTGTTAGATTAACTTACCCCAAAACATTTTGATTATTTGGGTAATAAATGAAAGAATCATGACTTCTAGTAATTCTTTTTTCACTACCAAACTTCTACCTAGAATACAAAAACACCTTTAGCAAGATAACAAAAAAGAACTCAACATTTTGATTCCAAAATTGAACCACAATTTTACCATTTCAGAGAGAACAAAGAGTTTGATAAACTAGACTAATGCTCGAGCAGAATCCATTTATAAAAATCTTTTTATTTTTCCCCTTTCACTTACCCTCTATTTTGCCGGCTTATCCCAAATTAGAATAAGTTTTAAAAGAAAGAAAAGAACAAGAAAAAATAAGAGAGAAAGATATTAATCTTGATCATCACGATATGGCATTGAGCCAACAACAAGAAGCATTATGAAATGGTACGTTATGCCTTCATTTCAATGAATACGATGAGATATTTATAAGCCATTATTATTATTATTATTATTAATGAGAACAGGGCTCCTTTAGGTTTTATAGCACAGCTTACCATTTTTGGTTCGGTGAAAATCTGTTTTACCATTTACAAGAAGAAACTATTCTGTAAAAAACACGGAAGAAAAAGGAAGTCATTTCGTTTTACCAAAAGAGTAGTCCAAAATCATTATTGTCCATAACATTTATGATTGTAACGTGCAAATAGAAGCTCTTCTTGAAAATTTCCATGTCATTTTTTTCCCAACTGTTATACCCATTACGCAATTTCTATGGTTTTATTAAGATCCGCATAATTACTTTGTGAAACAAAATAAACTACAATTAATATATTTTAACTTTCATTAATGGTAAAGAAAAGAATATAGATTCAAGATACTTTGCGGAGAGTGAAAATTAAGAAAATAAAAAATGGGATCAAATAGTCAAGAAACTGTCAAACGGCATAAAGTCAAACCTTTCCATAACAGTCACGTTTGTCATAGTGAAGTGTTAGAAGACATATATTATAACATAACATAAAAAATCGGTTCCGAAAAAAATCTAACTTTTATAAAAAAAGACTGTTATATAAGGATGCTGTTATAGAGAGATCTGACGGCACGTACACAAGTATATGAACAGCCTGAAGTTAACTTTTATGGACTTTCCCTTCTCTGTTTGAAACTGATCATTTTAAGTTCTTTCCTTGAGTCACTAGAGAGAGAGAAAAAGAGAGACATAATCTTAAATTTTCTGACATTAATTTAGGAAGATGAAGATATGGGGTCTTTTTTTCCTGTTCCTCTACTTGTTTTTACATGTTAGAGCAGCTATGGTAAGGGATGGATTTATAACAACAAAAGATGTGCATTTCATGTTAAATGAGAGTCCATTTTATGCAAATGGATTCAATGCTTATTGGCTTATGTATATTGCCTCTGATTCATCCCAAAGAGATAAAGTTTCTTCTGCTCTTCAAGAAGCTGCAAACCATGGCCTTACTGTTGGAAGAACTTGGGCTTTTAGTGATGGTGGATATTCACCTCTTCAATACTATCCTGGATCCTACAATGAAAAAATGTTTCAGGTATTTTTTTCTTTTCTTTTTCTAATATTTTTGTCTGAGAATTTTGCCGAGGGTCCGGCAGAAACAACCTCTCTACTCCTCCAAGTTAGGGGTAAGGTCTGCGTACACACTACTTTACTGGATTATTATTGTTGTTGTTGTTGTTGTTTGTCTGAGAATTTCTTGGGGTTCTTTTTTTTTTTTTTTTCGGGCAATAAGAATGTTGTGTGAATTCAGGATTTAAATTTTGATGGTTTCAATTCTCAGTACGCAAATTTACATACTTTTGGAATTATGAGTTCAGAATCTAATATTTATTGAGATTTCGTGATTTTTTACATATAAATTTATGATCGAAATATTGAGTTCAGTTGAACCCGTACGATAAAAGCTCACTGGCTGTAATTATGTGTTATTCTCTGAGTTAATGAGGTCTGATATTTTTTTAAAATTTTTGGAAGGGTTTGGATTTTGCCATATCTGAAGCTGGGAAAAATGGGATTAAGCTAATCTTGAGCTTGGTTAACAACTATAAGGATTTTGGAGGAAGGAAACAATATGTGGAATGGGCAAAAAGTCAGGGTGAATCCTTACAATCAGAGGATGATTTCTTTTCAAACAATGTTGTTAAGGGCTACTTCAAAAACCACATTAAGGTATAGTATGCAAATTTTACTGTGTTTTCTTTACCTTTCTTCAATAAAAAAGATGGCAGAAAAGCCTTTTTTATAATTAAATGTAACGCATTCACAATGTAATTTTTTTTTAATTATTACTATAATTTAACCTGTTATAGCGAGTAGTCTGCTTTATTATTCCGGTGAAACGTGACATATGTACATGCGACTCTGTTTAAGAGTTGTACTTTCCATACATGTAACGACAACATATTGTTTTTTGACTAACCAAAGCTAACCATTATGTTAAAAGTATTAAAAATATGGTTTTTTTTTCCATCAATAATATTTATTTCTAAAATAGGCAGTTTTAACAAGAAGAAACAGCATAACTGGAGTTGCATACAAAGATGATCCCACAATAATGGCTTGGGAGCTTATGAATGAGCCCAGATGTCCTTCAGATCCATCAGGAATTACTATCCAGGTAATGACACTTCTTTCTTCTTTTTGCCTTAGAAAATAACAATTTTAAATCCCATGTTTCTTCATTTTGCCTAAAAATTTCACATAATCTCCTGTGTTAGATATATATAATTCACAGATAAGTCTATTATTAATAAGGTTAGAAATGGTTAATGCACTGAGTTTACTGAAAGATTCAACTTTTACTATGATTATGTGTTGTATTGTATTGTCCTGTCCATCCACATAATTATGAAGATAACTTCATGCCAAAATCAAGTGTTATTTTCAGCCTCTCATTGTGGCAGTTAGAAGTTGGTAAACTTTAGTGGAAAGTCCTGTTTTTCTTGTGATAGCTTAGTAGGATTAGGCACTGAATCCTTACCTATTTGGCCCCTCTCTGAATTAGGTAGTGAATCAGTTTTCACATAATGGTAGTACCATCTTTTGTGACAGTGTGCTTGACTTGGGGTAAACTTTAAAGACTTTTAACTAGTATAGTTGAATTATTTAACATAAATAGCCTTCCAATCCAGAGGCGGAGCCAGGATTTTAAGCTTATGGGTTCGGGATTCTAGTCGTTAAAAGTTACTGGGTTTAAATTAATCATTTATACATATTCAATGCATTTTGTAAGACAAACACAGGGTTCGAATCAAAGTTACTGGGTTCAGCCGAACCCGGTCCCAACACTCTACCTCCGACTGTTCCAACCAACTGCTTAAACTAAAAATTACTGTTATCTAATCCATATATGAGTATAACCGCATATAATTAGTGTAATCTATGCTAGAAAAAGTAAAATAATGAATCTGGCCGGCTATTTATGTAAAGATCCCTAGTTCCGAGAATGGTCAGTGAGTGCACCCCTACTGTTGCATATTATGTGTAGATCTACCTCAGGGCGGATATTACAATTTAGTTGTGACTTTGTTAGTTGTAATGTAGGATTCAATTTTTGGTACTAATTTCCATGATTAAGAGTGAAAGTGAATTAATCAGTTGTACTTGTTTTACAGACTTGGATTACAGAAATGGCTTCATACATTAAATCCATCGACAATAATCACCTAGTAGAAGCTGGACTGGAAGGATTTTATGGACATTCAGATGCTCAGAAGCAGCAATATAATCCAAACTTTCTTGTTGGAACAGATTTCATTGCAAATAATCAAATTCCAGAAATTGATTTTGTCACTGTTCACTCATACCCTGATCAATGGTATTTATCCAAATAGCCTCTCTTAGTTTTTGTTTTTTGGCATGTTTAGTACGACAAAGTCATTTTTTATAAAAAATATTTTCCTGCAAAGAAAATATTTCCTAGTGTTTGGCTGGTCAGTGGAAAATAAAAGGCTGCCCAGTGCACTAAGTTCCGCTATGGGCCGGGTCCGAGGAAGGGCGAGATGGCGGGACCATAACTGTCTATTGTACGCCTTACCCTGCATTTATGCAAGAGGTTGTTTTCACGGCTCGAACCCATGACCTCCTAGTCACATGACATCAACTTTACCAGTTGCGCCAAAGTTGATTAGTGGAAAATATTTTCTGAAAAATGACTTATGTCATACCAAATACATTTCTTTCATGAAATTTTACAATTCACATGATATTTCATGTAGGTTGACTGGGCAAGATGATGAAGCCCAACTTAATTTCCTAAACGATTGGCTCAAAGTGCATATTCAAGATGCTCAATCAATTCTCAAGAAACCTCTAATATTTGCTGAGTTTGGTAAAACATACAAAGGTGTTGGTTTTACACCTGAACAAAGAGACATAGTCTTCAACACTGTTTATTCCAGTATATATTGGTCAGCTAAAGGTGGTGGCGCGGCGGCCGGCGGCTTATTCTGGCAACTATTATCTGAAGGAATGGATTCATATAGAGATGGATATGAGATTATTTTGAGTGAAAGTCCTTCTGTTTCTGAAATAATACTGCAGCAGTCCCAAAGGCTTAACAAGATTAGAAAAATGTATGCAAGGCTAGTGAATGTAGAGAAGTGGAGGAGAGCAAGGGACAAGATTAATCATGGAAATTGAAGAGAGTAGAATCAATAATGTCAAAATGCTAACACCTGAGAAAGATTGGAGTGAAGTAGATTTTAGCCTTTATTTAGTTATACGTGGAAAAAAAGTTACATCATGTTTTTTAGGAACTTGCTTAACATGTTATTTATCAGAGACAGTATTCTAGTGCTTTGTTATGGATTAAAATATATTGATAATTCTCGCCTTCAGTGATAACTGGTTAAAATATATTGATAACATAATTTTTTTTAAGCAATTAGCATAATTAACTTGAATCCTTATTATGCCGTAAGCATAACACCTTATTTTAAGTTCCTTTCTTGGGAAAATAAGCAACTAATTATGACATTGAGCCATAATTAAATACACAACTAGTGAAGTAAGTTTACATGTTTTTACCTATAGATTAAGCAGGAAAAATAATGTGTTGTCTCTCGGATGCCCCATAGGATACATTTTTAGCTTTTGAACTTCAAGTTCTGTTCTTGGGCAAGCGGGGGTCAAAAATTAAAGATTACCCCTAAAAGTGTTATATTTTTGCAATGTTTTGCAGGCCAGTCTTTTAAGTGATCCAGTTTATAGAAAAGTGTGGATGGGAAAAAGACACGTATAGCCGCTCTCAAAATAATAGTCGAAAAATATATGTTTTTTTGTATATATAGACACACACACACATATACACATTCTGTTTGTTATATACAAAACTATACAAATTTTATATAATTTTTTGGCTACCAGACGTAAATAGTTTGTGGCAGGTCTAAATGTTAAAAAAAGCCGAAGTTGATCCAGTAATGGCCCAACTAGGTAAATATGTGGCCCATTACATTAGCCAGCCCAGTAATCTCAGATAAGCATTCTAATCCATTGCTCCTTTCTCCATCTCTCATTCATTTTCTGGAATACCCAACAATGGCGCTCACTCTCTCCAACACTTTCCTCCAAAAAAATGCCTCTCCTCCTCCACTCTCCCTCAAAAAGGTACTCTCCTATCAAAATTTTATATTAGCAACTAATAATCAAATTAAACTAGTTTATAATTGAGATTACGATATTTGAAAATTTGAATTTTGCAGGTGGGAATAGGGAGCAATCAGATGAGGTGGAGCTGCAGGAAGAAGGATATACACCCGCAATTCTACGACAATGCTAAGGTTTACTGTAACGGAGAGCAGGTGATGACAACAGGCGGGACTAAGAATGAGTACACAGTTGATGTTTGGTCAGGTAATCATCCTTTTTACTTAGGTAGTCGTTCGGCGCTACTTGTGGATGCTGACCAGGTTGAAAAGTTCAGGAAGAAGTTTAGTGGGTTATCACAGATTATGCAAATTCCTACCCTCAAAGGAGAGATTATTCTTCCTCCTAAGAAGAAGAAAGCTACCAAGAAGAAGTAGACTATTTGGCTTGTATACTTTTCCCTCAGTTTGTATGAAATTGTTGGAAGAATTAGAGGGTTTTCTGTGTATTTGTTTGTATTTTGATGGTTTAACGTCTGAACTCAATCTATGATTTGAAAAGAAGTATAAAAATTGAGTCTTTGTTCTTCTTGTTATTGTTGGGTTTTGGTAGTAATTGCTGTAGTTGTATAAAGGGCAGCCCGGTGCACTAAGCTCCCGCTATGCGCGGGATCCAGGGTAAGACCGGACCACACGGGTCTATTGTACGTAACCTTACCATGCATTTTTGCAAGAGGCTGTTTTCACGGCTCGAAATCGTGACCTCCTGGTCACATGGCAGCAACTTCACCAGTTACGCCAAGGCTCTCCTTCAAATTGTTGTGGTTGTATGATTGATCAAATTGTTAGGTTCGTTACAACATTTTATTTGAATGCAAAGTGTGATCTGTTGGTTGGCAGCATTGTTTTAATTATTGGAGTGAAATGTGCCTAAATAGAGCAGAATGGACACATAAAAATTAATTTTTATTTTGATGGTTTAACTTCTAAACTCATTCTATGATTTGAAAAGAAAGTATAAAGATTTGATCTTTGTTCTTCATATTGTTATTGTTTTGTTTTGGTAGTAACTGCCTAATTGCTGTTACTATATGATTCAAGTTGTTACATTATTTCATTTAAATGCAAAGAACATCTGTATCTTTTAATTGGCATCATTGCTTCCAACTATTGGAATGCAATAAGCATAACTAGAACAGAATGAATACTGAGAATATATGTGGCTTATCAGTTTGGATTTACGCGTAGTTCATTGATCATACTTCAATGACAATTTTGTCAAATGAGCTGCCTTCTACGGTTTAATTTTCCTTCTTCTCCCCTCCCCCCCTGCCTGATAAACTGAACAAAACTTGTTGGTTTAGCAAATCTTGCTGTAATATCATTTCTCGGAAGGGAAAGACTGATCCTTTCAGCCATCATTTGATAAAGTAAAGATGAAACTAAGGTTGTTATAGGTGCCGAAAGCTGTTGGCCTATGTTCTTCTGTTTGGTTGGATAGCCATGTGCTCTAAATTCTAATTTATTATGCTGGTGCACTTCTGTTCTAGCAGTTTACTGCTGAAAATGCTTTTTGGAGGATTGCATTTCTAATTATGCTTTCAACTTATAAGTTTATGTCTTTGTTTATTTCCCCTGCTATAGCCTTTTCGAGGATTACTTATCAAACTCTGCTTTCCTGTTTGCCTACTCCAGAAGACAATATGAAATAAGAATCTCATTGGTTCATGTCTTTGTTCCTTTCCCCTGCTATAGATTATCAGTTGCATTTACTTTTCCATTTGCTTCTACGTAGAACATTATATGAAGCTCTCATATCTATTTGACTCCTCTAGTGCTACCACTATCAAAGAAGGAGAGCCTTGGAGCAACGGTTAAGTTGTCTCTGTGTGACCTATAGGTCACGGGTTCAAGCCATGGAATCAGCCACTGATGCTTGCATCAGGATAGACTGCCTACATTAACACCCCTTGGGGTGCAACCCTTCCTCGGATCCTGCGTTCACGCAGGATGCTTTGTGCACCGGGCTGTCCCTTTTTTAGTGCTACCACTATCAATATGTCTTTGTGAATACACTGATCAGTGCATTATAAGATTATCTTTGAAGGGGTTTGGACTGATTATGGTGTTGAAGTAGGATTTTGGCTGATCAGAAGATGTTTGAGCTAGTTTCTACGTCATACTTAAGGTAGGATAAAATATCCCGGAATCCTCATATCCTCATTTGCTAGGGACCAAATTTTCACAAAGAACTCATTAGATACATAGATTAGCATGGTATTAGTATAAAACTATTTATGTTCGAAAGGGATTAATATTTGGTCGATAAGAATTCATAGCAACATCCGGATTCAACAGTAGGGTCTAGTTTCTGAAACTGGGAATTCTAAGCTTCAAATCAGCATCTCCTAACTCCTATACCACTGACCAAAAGGTCATAGCTTCCACATGAATCTTTGGCATGCCTCATTTCTTTTCACTATTTTAGCTTCTGTCTCGATACCTTTTGATTCTACAGCATCTATAGGTGTTTTCTAGTTCTGGTTTTGGCTTATTTCCTTTATTGAAGTTCTTCTTCTCACTGTCAATAACTGAATTAGACATGGCAACCTGGATATAGTTTCTACTTGACAGTAACATTGGTACTCAAACCACCTATATATTTGATTCTTTTTCTTTTTTATATGCTTAAAACCACTTATTATGAGTCAAAACGATCTCATTGATGCATTTTGATTTCTTCGCTATGCTCAGAACTTTTCTGATGGCATTCTGTGAACCATATTCCTTACTTTCTGAGTTCACATATGATGTTTTTCATTGGAATATTAACCATACATAAATTTTAGCATTTGCTAACGTAGCTTCCACATCATTGTCTGTTTTGTGCTTCTGGAGTTGGGCAGATAATTTTAGTTGCTACCTTTCGTTTGCCCTGAAACTGATGCAATATGTTTAACAGTAATCCTTTTGGTAGGAACATTCTACACATGTTGCACTATGAATCTGTAGAAATATGTGATATTATTTTTATACCACATGCATTGGGGATAACAATTCTGCGATAAAACAACTGAATGACATATGCTCTCTTCTTCATAACTTTCTCCCAAAGTCTTTTTAAGAAAACTAAGCTTAACATCGAAAATAAAAGTTTATCTAGTATAAAATTCACATATTTTATTTTTGGTTAAATGAATCAATAATAAAAGTATATCTACAAAACAATCCCGTCATTATTTAATCTTCGATCCTCATACTATTATCCCGATATAACTTATTTTCGAACCAAATGACCTCGGAAAGTTAAGCTTTTTTCCCTTTTTGCGGGTGGGTTGGGGGGTGGGGGGTTAATTACATTATAAGTTATATCTTTTACTATAGGTGGAATCTAATAAACAATCAGGGTAGACATTGGTTTTAGTCAATCTTTTTGAAGAATATTAAGCTTTTGGTACGAAAGAATCCTACGTGAATTGGCAAATTCTATACACATTCTGAACATTCTGTACACGAATTAGCAAAAAACATTTTGTTTTCTTTTATGCTATAGTGCTTTTTTCTTATTCCTTTTCGTCAACTGGTACTTTAAGGAAGTGAAATACAAGTTTCCAAGTACTATACAAAGGTCAAAACTTATTCACTAAGTATGATTGCTTCTACATTGATGAATAACGTTCAGGCATCCAGCTGAAATTCGTTATTGTATTCCTAGAAAATACCCAAATCTTAGTCTTATAATAAAGTCATATTCAAACTTTACGTTCAGATTTTAAGTATCCCAGGCAATGCACTTTACACCGACTAATTTATTGAGAAAATGACATTGCATAGCCGCTATCAAAATAATAGCCGAAAAATATATTTCTGTATATATATACATATATTTATGTAGAATATACAATTTTTTTGTATTTTTACGTCGTCTACCGAATATAAACAGTTTCAGCCGCGAATTAAAAGTGATCTTTGCCTAATTCATTTCATGTTTTCTTTTAAAACTTATTTCATCAATAGCCATGATTATGACGAAACTATATTAATCAAATGACTATTAAGTTATTGAAACTGGATATATTTCAACGCATATCTTTTATGTTATGAGACCATTTTCATTACCGAATACTTGATAGGGACGCCAATTCGACTTTTATCATGTCCTGATTCCTTTCCTTGTTCTTGTGAACAGTTCACATTTAACTTTTTTGTTTTTCCATTTTGTTTTCTTACAACAAAAATATACTAGAGTATTAGTTAGGGATATTATTACTTTTAGCCCACGCCAAAAGCTATTTATATTTGGTAGCCCAAAAAGTGTATAAAATTTGTACTAATTTTTGTATATAACATACAGAATGTATATATATATATATATATATATATATATATACACACACAAAAAATATATAAATTTTATATTATTTTTTTGGCTATTATTTTTAGCTATACAGTGTCATATTTCCTATTACTTATCGGCTAATGCTTAATTATACTTTCGATTCGATATCCATCTAAAATATATTGTACTGAAGAAGTCTCACTAAATTGAGAATTATTTGACTATAACAGACTGCTCTTATACTCTGTGCAAATATAAGTGTTTCATAGTACCTTTTTGGTCTAATACTTTAGCAAAATTAAGTGTTGCACAACACCTTGTATCAAGTTAACATTGTTAGTAATTGCAAAGATAGCGAATTGTTTTCTTAAAAACCTGATTCTATTACATGAGAGGAGAAAGTAAGAAAAGGAAAGTTTTTGGCAAATTCTGCCACCAAATATTCTTAACATAGTGTGATATTATCCGCTTTAATCAAGATTCGTGTGTTCTTCTCCAAAAAGATTTTATACCATTAAGGATATCCTACACCTTATATGTATTTCCCGCTCTTTAAACTACTAATGCAGGACTTTGTTCGCATACGTAACAGGAATACAGCAAAAACCAAACTCACACCTACTCCTCAGAAAACTACTACAATTACCACTAAACTATAAGGGGTGGTTTAGTAGGATGTATTCGGGAAATAATACATATATTAGCTTCGATATTATTAATCATTGTTTCATAGTAGTATTTTTAACCTATGTATAACTAATACTTGTATTATAGATACACTCTATTCAGTATTATCTTATACATAGCAAACCATGCATTAGCAACAGTGGCGAAGCCGAAAATATTTTTAAGGGTGTTCAAATTTAAAAGAATTAAAAAGAACCCGAAAAAGGGTGTTCAATACATGTTATATACCTTTAAAATTTAATATTTTATCTATATATACAGTGTAATTTTCTGATGAAGGGTGGTCAATTGACCACTCTTATCATAACTTAGCCTCGCCCATGATTAGCAATACCTTTAATACATGAATAAGCATGTATAAAGATAGAACTTCCATTTACAATCTTTTCCAACAATACCATGGGGTGTATTGTTATTAACAAATAATTTTTAAGAAAAATAATGCAATACATATTATTTTTAATGCACCAATAGTCGACAAGAAATAATCTCAGCATTATTAATACTAGGGATGTACATAGGTCGGGTTGGTTTGGATTTTACCATTAACAAACCAAACCAATTGTGTCG